TAATTAATGATCAAAGATATTTAGAAATTCTTGAAAATCATCTTAAACCTTTTATTGATAATTCTTTATATTTTTTTCAAGATGATAATGCACCTGTACATAAAACAAAACAGATGAAAGAATGGAAAGAAAATAATTTAATTCAATCATTTTCATGGCCTGCTCAAAGTCCGGATCTTAATCCAATTGAGCATTTATGGAATATTTTAGAAAGAAGAATTCGTGCACGACCAAATCATCCCAAAAACAAAACTGAATTGACAATTGCTTTAAAGGAGGAATGGAATTTAATTGAACCAGATATTTTAATTAATTTAGTTGATAGTATGCCTCGTAGAGTTGCTGCTGTTATCGAAGCAAATGGCTATCCAACACGATATTGATGTATATAGATAGATAGCTTTTACTTTAATAAATAAAATAAAACTTGTATTGCACTGAATTTGTTAGGTGATTATCAAGAATTATTACTTTAAAGTTCGCAACCCGTATCCGATATACTATACGTCGATCATTTTGGACGCAGACTTTTGTCCACCCAGTGTACGTAGATTTAATTTCTCTGACCATCTTTTTGATGTTACATGATGGATATCTACCACTAGTGACAGAATCACCGTTATATATTCCCAACATTGTATATATAACTGTTTAAAAAACTCACTATAATTTATAAACTTTCTTGCCTATATGTAGATTCCCGAAATTATAACGTTTCTTGAATCATAAATTTGAAAGTACTATTTTATTTAATTAATCAAGCATAATAGTTCGTGTTATAATTGAATTCTCAATTGTTGTTCAGCAGTCAATTATACATTTATTTCGTTTAAACCCGACCTAGCGCTATCTATAAAGATAGGTACACAATCACAGTTTATTACTGAAGTATGATAGTACGCATCTCTATAGAAAATCATTAAAAATCATGATTACAAAACAGATAAGTTACGACAATACGAAAGTTGCAGAGCATAAGGTTTAAGCTGCAAGTGATTCCTTATGCTTATATCAATTTTTAATCCTCTGGTGCTAAAATCCTAAATTTTCCCGGATAGACGAGTGAAGCGACAAAATAAAGGTTTGATGGGAGATTGGTCCATGGTGGAAGTGGTAGATATCTTTCACCGTTGACTGAAAATGCGACCGTCTTACTATTCATGTTTAGGTGCACAGTAATTTTCACATTATCCTGTATGAAGGTTGGAATGTCTTTAATACCTTGACTATTATGGTTGTAGTATCCACCTGAGCCCAAAACCCATCCATGTGGTTGATATCCAGCAAAATTAGAAAAATCGAGACCTTCGTCACAGATGCCCACCCAAGCGCAACCACAACTTTTTTCGATTAGAACATG